CTATGATGGAGAAAGAATTGATCTGATTGCAGGAAGCAATAAAGAAAGCTGCTGACATGGCAGTAACCTCAACAGCCAACAAAGTTGATGAAAATCGATGCCTTGATGCGTTCAGGCTGCTCAAGAAATTTTCTATCAATTATTAAATCCTGATATCAACCCAGGTGGGTAAACATCCAAGAGTTCTAACAAAGCATCCCAGGAAGAAGATTAGGGATTTTGCTATGGAGGTGGTGGAGATATGGAAAGCCATGATCATCAAGGAGATAAGCAAAATTAAGAAAGAAAAGGTTCATCAGAAGGTTCGGAATACTTTTGTGATTAAGCCTAAGGATCCGAAGGCTATTATGGACGTTCCTAAGGCTGAGAAAATTAATAATAATATTGAAACATCAACCTCCGAAGCCAAAACTGTTTCCAATGTCAAAAGCTCCAAAACTGTTTCTGCAGAAAACACAGGCAAGGACGAGAAGAAGAAGCAAATTTCTGAAATACTTAAGAAGACATCCTCAAACCCCTTGCTCCTTCAAAACAGAAAACTGTGATTAAATCTGGAGATGCCACGCGAGACAAAATAAGGGAAATTCTTCAAGAGGCGTTCTCTAGGGTTTCAAGGGAGGCTGATGAAGTAGCCATGGATAAAGTTAAAGCATTAGGATTTCTGTTGTGGTGAAGTCTATACTATTTCAAAAGTGGGGTTTATTTTATGGGGCTCAAAAGATCAAGTATAAGTCCTTGTTATTTAACCTCAAGATTTCCAAGAACCCAGATTTTTGAAGAGTCTTGCTCGGAGAATTGGCGCCGGAACGGCTTGTCGACATCAGAATGTACAGAAGACATGGCTAGCGATAGAAGGAAGAAGGAGAATGAGAAGATCAAAAGCAAAGCTTTTTTCCGAGTGTGAGCATGGACAGAAACCAAAAGCCACAACTGATTAATTCGTGTGTGAAAAGTGTAGGAAAAGAGAGACCACCTTTTACCAGATGCAGACTCGTAGCGCTGATGAACCTATGACCACTTATGTCACATGCGTTTCATGCAATCACCATTGGGAGTTCTGTTAGTCTAGCTAGTTTTTATCTCCAATACAATATACCCTCTCTTTAGAGGGCTATCGTTATATATACATATGATTTGTTATTATAAATTTTGAACAGATTATGAAATTGTGAACCCTATCAAGTTTGTTTTGTAGATGGACTTGTTTAGTTAATTTTTTTAATACAAATATATGTCCATTTCAAACTATCTGTTGCATATATGTTTGAAGTTATGACTTATATGAGTGTGTATTCGGCTATTTACGTATGTAGAATATAATATTGCCTTATAATTTTCAAATATCTCTTGGCATAATGGTTAATAAACTTCTTTAGGAAACCTTGGATAGAGGCATCAAATACTAGATTTTTTGTGAATAATTAATGGTCTGTCACTGCCCTGGACATGCTAGTTTAAAAAAAAAAAAAAATTCCAACCACTGGCTGCTCCAACAGCAACACAACCCATTATGTTTGGATGAAGCTTCAATTCGATAGGTTTCTTGTCTTATTTTTAATGAATGACGATTATGTATATTGCACTTTAATTTTTAATCTCAATAATGATACCTGAGAGTACATAAAACTGGAACAAATTTCAGTGCTTATGGGAGCGATGAGCACCATAATAGGTAAAATCTACACCATTCAAATATAATTTTAATTGTCTAGATTTAAAATTTGTAACTAATGATTTTAAATAAAAATTATTTTTTTGAAAAACTTAAAGTTAAGAGATTACATTTATTTTGGGTTATGTGCCTATTAAAGAAAAATATTTTTCAAACAACACAAAAATATAGAAATTTAAATTTTGCCCATCCATATTAAATTTGAATGTTTGGGATTTAATGAATAGGTTAAAAAATATGTTAAATTAGTTATTTGTAATAAATAGGTACTGTCTTTCCTAAAATACTTATCCTAACTATGTAAATTAGCTAGAACTATTATTTAATGAACTTTTTTGTAACACCCCATCTAAAAATTTGCATACTTAGCGTCCCACCAATACTCACAAGAGTTCAGGTATTTTTTTTCCAATGACACCTGCTCAACTCAAAAACCAAAAGTATTCAAAATAATAAAGAACACAGCCCTTAAAGCTTACTCTTTTGGCGTTTTCCCTTGATTCCTATTAAAATATTTGCCTAAAAAGGTTTCAAGAAAAGTGGGGTGGGCACTAACGTCTCAGTAACTCAGAGTTTTGCCATGCACATGTAAACTTTCATACACAAGCAATCATTATTTGGTCTATATACAATTACTAAAATACTTAAAAACATATAATCATCAACAAGCAATATAATTAAAGTTCATGATAATCATATGTATAATATGTATATATGCAATGGGTGCTTCTTCCCTTATTGCTCCTTCCAACCTTATTCTGCTGACTAAAATTATAGGCTTATCTATGATCTGACCCACACACTAGGTTGACCAAAGCTACTCTAGTACTTGAGATGTACCCGGCTAAAAGTACAGAGCCCAAGCCTAGACTATGGCTTCCTTTTTGAACTACAAAGCAGGAGGTGACACAGTCTCACATCCCTTCTCTACAAACTTGGTCAGGCAAGTATTAAGGAATGGGGCCCTAAAAAGGCCAACCATTGGGTGCACAGTGGTGGCAAACCACGTGGTTACAACATATCACATAAGTCAGCATCATAAACCCCTGTGTTGCCCAATCACTAGTGCATGTCATGCATACGATTATGAAGTAATTCTAGCACATACAAGCATGCTTGAAAGAAATAAAAGACCATAAAATTTCCACAACAATAATCATCATATAGAAAAATTGCTTAAAAGAGATTAAAGTAACTCAGCAAATAATACAATCATAACCCTTTACCTTTTCACAACCTCAGTGATATACTTGTATCAATTAAGCAAATCGAGTTTTATATATTAAAAATTTACATATATTTAATCATGACAAACAAGCTTGTACACACAAAGAAAAAACCGAGTTACCTGTTATCATTTAGCTTGCAGGAAGTCAAATACCAAAATCAAGAAATAAAAGCTTTCAATAATAGTCTACAAAAAAAAAGCATACGTGGAAGAAAAAATATTAATTTAAAATCTCAATTCTACTTAAAATTATCTTATAGCTACCCTAAAGTTATTCAATAGCTATTCTAGAGTACACAAAATGAATATTTATTAAGTTTTCATCATTAAAATGTCATAAGTCTTTATTTTTAATTAAATTTATATTAATACATACTTATAATTTACTAAATATGAGTGACGAGAAGTTGATATTCATTAGTTCTAAAAACATATAGCAGGATGATATATATAAAAGAAGTAAGCAATCAATGTGATCATTTCAACATAAGAAGTTATGATTGGAAATATATACACACAAAGCCCCACCGTATTTCGAGGTATTCCCATGATAAGCTTTGATAATGTTGAGAATAAAAAGGCTATATAAATATACAGTCCAAAAATTTAATGATGGCCAAGAAACTCAATTTTATAAATACAAGAACTCGAATAAATATTTGAAATAGTGGATTTTCTTTTTGAATTTGTGAACAAGAGGACGAAAGAATTATGAAAAGCATAAGTAGATATAGGGCTGTGATGACAGAAAGTTAAGAAGAAGTATGTTGAATCTATATCTCTATGTATAGAGAAAGTTTGAACGAATACTACTAGTGCTGCACTTAGAATGCAAAGGAGGAAAAATTCTTAGATAAATTGATCTAAGTATACCTTGAGGCTGACAATATCTATTTGATAAAGAGATGAGGAAATAGCTTGTGGCCGGCCAATAACATTTGGCAAAAAGGAGAAAAGTGTCAACCGTGTTATTTGTAATTGATGAATAGAAAAGTAATGCTCAGCGGAGGAAACAAGAGAAATTAGAGAGAAAGGATGAGGTTGCGTGAGAACAAATGGGGAGGAGCCAAGAGAAATAGCTTTAGGTTTAGATTTTTATTTGATTATTATAAGATATATTTATTTGTATAGACAATAGAATCTAAATAATTTATTTCAAATGTTATTCACATATTAAAATCTGATTATTTTAGATATATATAACAACTCAATAATTCTAAAAATTAACCCCACTCTTTTAAATTAGTTATTACTTACCGTAATATTACTTAGTATCTCAGCTACTCCATAATATATCTACATAATAATCTTACCTGTTATAATATTACGGCTCACAAAATAATATATACACATCCTCACTCATATGTATTAATAGTTATATACGTATCTACATATGTGTATCTCTAAAATGTTTTTTTTTATTAGGTGAGATATTTCAGTTTATATTTGTTTACACTGTTTTAATATTTCCTTAATCTATACAAATCAATTTCCAAAATATAAAACATTTTTTTCCTATAAGTCATTTATTAATATTATTTAAGTATATACTCTAGGTCACCATACTCTATGATGAGTTCAAAAAAACAGGATGTTACGCTTTTAACTACTACAAGACTATTTTTAAAAAATAGATAAACATGAGAGATAAAATGAATTGATATCTTATATTTAGGAGCAAATTAAATATCAAACTACCTCTTATATTAAGGACTAGAAATAATATAGTTTTTAATGATATGAGAATTACAACATGTTGGGATTATGGTATACATTGTATGTAGGAAACTCCTCCCGTGCATCGTATAGGGAGTCAATGATAATTGATTTGATATAAAATGTAAGGGATGAAGCTACAAAACACACCCAAAAACAAACTTAGAAGTCAATAGAAGCAATATTTGGTTGGTTAAGAAAATTAGATTATTAATATATAAATTTGGGCCATCTTTAATTATTATACCAGACAACAGGAAAGGAAAACAGAAAAAGAAAAAAGGCAAAACCCACGTAGATAAGTGAGTCCCAGATTTATCTTTCTCTTGCTTAACTGTAAAAATTCTATATAAATTAACATAAACACTGAAAACCAGTAGTAGTCTATTTGTTCATAAAACTCTTGCATTTGAGAGCAAACTCAGAAAAAGTCTTAGTGGATGATCCATATTCTTGAAGCGCTTGAGAAGCAGCGAGTTTGAGATCATTCATTCTTTGGCGAAATGCTTCACTTTGTTCACCTTCAATTAAACTCTTCACAAGCTTAGCGATTTCTTGCCTTCCCACAATGCCTTGATCGTTATATTTTGGCCTCAAAGCCACCTGGAGACCATCACTTACCAGAGCGGCATTTAGTTTCTGCTCAGCAAAAAGTGGCCACGCTATGAGTGGCACCCCATTAACTACACTCTCTACGATTGAATTCCATCCACAATGGCATAGAAAACCACCCGTCGCCACATGGCTAAGCACTTGTACCTGAAAGCAGGTTAGAGAGAGAGAGAGAGAGATTTCCTGATCAACAAGTTATAAGTATATTATATTAATAAACAAGTATTTTGTTTGTAGTCTGTTTTACTTTTATTGTTCTAGAATAGACTCTTTTTGTTAGCGTAGAATACTTGTATATTAATAAAATTCAACAATAAAATAAAAATTCAGAACAACAAAATTTAATGTTTAGAACAAATTTGAATACCCGGCCCCAACTATTATTATCATAAGAATAAGCCCTGAAGGGGAGCATGTGGTGGGGGCCTTTTGCCGACTAATTTTTTTTTTCCGGCCAAATTTTCGGTTTTATTTCTGTCCTTCGGTGTCCCTATTTTGTTATAAATTTATAATTACTATATTCCTCTCTTACAAATGAAAGGGAAAATTGGTAAAAAAATTTCTGATTGAAAATTTAATTGGTAAAAATGACCTGAATTTAAACAAGTGTAACTATGATCTGTTAGTATAATATATTTTTCGTTGTGTGCAAGATATCAATAATGATGTGCAATAATTATCAATACGGAAGTTATTTGCATACAACAGAAATTATGTTGCACATAGTGGAATATATGTTGCACTCCTCAAATTCAGGTCTTTTTAGCTAATTAAACTTTCAAATAGGAATTTTTTCATACCAATTTTCTCCAAATGAAATCTATTTAATAAAATCTATTTTTATCCCCAAAAGGAAAAGCTCATAAATCATAATTGACGTACCTGAGGTGCCCAAAAAGGAACAACCAAGCCTTGCTTTTGTGTCCGCTCTAAGAAGCCACGTGGCAAAAAATGCAAAGGGTCTTTATTCTCAACGCAAACATCAGCAACAGCCCCAAACTTACTTGGAGGCTTATAAACCCATAAGAAATTCTGACCACTCAGCTCAAGTCCCATTGCCAGCTCATCCAATTGCTCATGGGAGAGGGTCCCACTACTTCCAAAGCATGCATAAACCACGGAGTTGGGTGGCTTCGTGTCCAGCCATTTCAGACATTCATGAGTGGATGATTCAACATTTTGAGTAATGGGCCCAATTGGATACACAGTTGGGCCTGGCCTTTCTCTCAAGGCCCGTATAGGCCCAGGCTCTAATTCTGAGAAGGTGTTGACTAAGACCCCATCTGCTAGGTGGAATCGTTGACCAGCTTGAAGAAAAATCTGGTACTCTTGGTTGGTTCGATCTTGAAGCGAGTCTGGGAGATCGCTGCCATGAACAGGGACACAACCTGAAATTTGCAAATTTTGGTCACTACTTATTATGAGATTTTAAAGGCTTTGTTTATTTAGATGAAAAAGGATTGTTATGAAGGAGAAAAGAAAATAGCGACAGTTATAATAGGTGGGTGATCTGTATATAAATAAACAAATAAATAAATCCATTTGTTTTTTTTAAATTAAAGCAAAATGATATTAAGTAAAAATAAAAGTTCAAAATACAATCCATTTGTTTTATTTCTGCTATATATAAAATATAAAATTTATAGTAGCTTGTATTATTTATATTCACTGTATAAGACTCATTATTGATTCTATATATTTAATATGCTCACAGTTGCCAAAAAAATATTTTAATGACTTGTGAGTTTTTTGAGTGGGAAAAATCATTCTTCATGTGTAGTGTGTACAAACAATTTTATTACAAAAGACAAGTTAGTAATTTGTGAAAATTTACGTGGGAAATGTCAGCTTTGTATTAATAAATAATAAATGAATTCCATTAAAAAAAATAGATGAATAATAAATGAATATGTGTGTCCTTAGTAAATAAGTGCATTCAAGGGAATAATATCAATTTTCTAGCAAAACGTATTATTTTTTACCTCTTGTCAAGTAATTTATGATAGTGTATATTAGTATGCTTTTTTACAATTCACATGCGTAATCTAATATGAAATCATAATCTAATTTCTCAATTGAATCCTAATTGAAGTTAGAATTAACAAATTTGCAACAACACTGACCTGGAATCTTTATGGGTTCTGCTAGATCTCTGAACTCACGAGAAATTGCCTTATCCAACTCTGAAGAATACAAGCAGAGCGAAAGCATCATGGCTGTGGAAGGGAAATACACAAACGACAAGACATTTCGATCCTTCACAAATTCCACAACCTGATCTAACAAAGCATCCACAAGGACAGCACCAAACGGTGCCGTTTCATTCACAAACTTGTTTAGCTCTTCATAAATGTTAGGCAAAGAACGATACATGCTGATCTGAATAAGAGTTGCTGGGTTAGTCTCCTGTGACGCCAAGTCGTTCAAGCTTGGAGGAGGAAGAAAAATGTACTGAATGCTTGAATTTGTAGGGAGGGCTTCTAGAAGGGTTTTCTGGGCATTTCCATGGGATTCTACTGTGGGGATGATGACCGTACAGTGAAAGTGTGGATGAAGATGAAGGAGTCGTTTGCAGAATTCGACCATGGAGAGTAAATGGCTATATATTGGAACTGGAACCAAGGCTACGTGAGTTTTCTTATTGGCCTCCATGAAAATATGAGGAAGGATTAATCACTTAGCTTAACTAGCTCAAGTAAAAAGGCTCTATGGGAAGTGTAACATGTAGGTTGGCTTTTTATACAGAAGACTGCCAAGAGGTTACGTTTTTTTTCTTCTCAACTATTTAATCCTATTCATGAAACTCCACATAAATGAGAAAAACTAGTTATTGAAACAACTTTAAATTGTGTCATAAATTCTCGTATGTTTTTTTTTTTTGAAACAATCGAAGAGAAGCAGTTTGGGTTGATTCAATAACGAATCATGATTTGTATGTGCAGATTATAAACTCACATATTTTTTTAAAAATTTTATTAAAATTATATTAATATATTGACATTTCCTTATTTTCAAAACACATATAGATTTCTTTTGAAAAAATAAATTAGAGAATATACAGGTATTTCTTAAGATAGAATTTTGTAAAATTACATAAACTGTGTTCTACCAAAAGGGAAAAAAAACATAGAGTGATAGGCCTTATAGCTCAAGAAATTAAAACCATAGATGCACACGAATATATTTTAATGTATAATCTAAAATGCCATATATCAACATAAATAAGTTTTTTTAAAGAAAAAAATAGGGATATATTTTGTTTTAAGCAAAAGATGATGGAATAAAAGAGACCCTTAAGCTGGAGTTATTGACAACATATGAAACCCTCATGCCATGAAAGAAGCAATTATGTAACTTCTCGATAAGTAGCAATAATAAACAACAGAAATTAATCTTTCTCCCACGTTTAAATGTAAAAAATGTATGGGGGAGTTATGTAACTTTTTACAAGAAATTAAGAATAATAACTGCATATAAGTAGGTTCCATATATATATATATATATATATATATTTCATAGAGTTTGATAATAACGTAAACTGAATAAATGTATGGGGGAGTTATGTAACTTTTTATAAGAAATTAAGAATAATAACTCCATATAAGTAGGTTCCATAGATACACACACACACACATATATTTCATAGAGTTTGATAATAATGTAAATTGAATAAATGATTTATAGCTTGTAATTTAATTATCTTTACTTTTGAAGAAAATCATACAATACATCAGTAAAGAATAAAACTTAAGTCAAGTTGTTTATATTCTTTAAGTGAAATTCCCCTATGACACTTGTTATTTTGCTGTTATTAATTGTTAAAATATGCATGCGCTCTTATGAATTTACCTATAAACACTTATAAATTTTTGGATAAGCTCTGATAATATAAATTAAAATTTATAAATTTTCATATGGATATTTGTTATTTTATTATTGTTAGTTGTTAAAATATGTACTTGCACTTGTAAATTCACCATTGAACTTATAAGTAATTTGGCCTAAGTTTTGCTTATTAGCAAAAAGATAACAAGTTAAAACACTAAACAAAGACTAGCGTAGACCTTCTGCTAGATAAAATTAATGAGATAAGCATGCATGCCCAATGAATTAGAAAGATATCAAGCAAGAGAAACAAATGAGAGTAGTATAGACAAAAGAAAATCATGCTATAATACATAACATAAACAATGTAATATTTATTTGGGAAAACTACTTCCCTAGTCCTTATAGTTTTCCCTTGGATTAGGTCCTTACATTTTTTTCCTCTTATTTTACAGAATCCTTTGAGTTTACTCCGTTAATCCAGTTAGTCCCTTATTTTTCCAACTGTTAAATAGGAAGTAATAATGTTAAAATTTTTGTTAAATAGTTGTGAGGTGGCAAATAGCTGGCAATGATTTGTTAAGATAGATCATGACCCAGCATCAAAGTACACCAGTGAACTGACCCTACGGTCTGGTTTACTGGGTAAATTGGCTCTTAATCAGGTGGGTTGTCGGTTGTTTCCCTAGCCTCTTCCCCACCCTTACTGGTCACCGAAGAAGCCTGTGCTCTGCCTTTGCTCATGGAAGGCTGAAGACGGGAAGGCAAGGAGAAGAGGGGGGGGGGGGGAGAGATGGATAAGCTGATGAGGCGTAGAGGAATGAGAAGGCTTAGAAAGATGGACGAGGCGTGTTCAAGAAGGAAAGAAGGAAAGATCAGCCGTGTTCAATATTAAAAGGAGGAAAGAGAAAAAATGAAGAGACCGATGGGAATGGCTAAATGGGAGTACTCACGTGTGTAGAAAAGAAAGACGAAGAGAGAGGAAAGCGAAAAATAATTAAAAAAATTTAGTGGGTCAGGTGAGAAAAGAAAGAAGAAAGAAGAAAGGAAAAGAAAAAAATAAAAATAAAAATATATATTATTTTTATAATTAAAATCTAACTATGTTTATCTATTTTAATTAAATTATATTATTTTAATTACTACTGGTCTGATTCTGAGTTGAGTCCCACTGTCTGAACTGGTTTTTGAGCCTTGCACAGCATACAAATTGAAAAATGTAGCCATGTCTGAAAAGAAATAAAGCCCAAATTCACCAATGCTGAGGAAGAACATTACAGAAGCTGCTCATACATGATCATAATGGGGCATCGTCTCCTCTCACGCACGATCACGAAGTTTCGAGCGAGAGCAGCACTGTTGAGTAAGGAGGTTACTCAAGGATTATGCATTTGCCATATTTATTTCTTCTTTATTTAATATATGCTTCAGCTGTACAGTCTCCATATGCTGTATTTCTTACCTGTAGGCACTGAAGGAGATATTTAAAAAAATGGGAAGTAAGACCACGGACCCTTTGCCTTTTGTTTTTAGTCCAAGCGTCCTTTTTGCTCCTCCTTATACATCTTTCACTCAAAGGCTGAATCAATAAAAGCACCTTCATGCTCATATTCTTTAGAATCATATGTATTGTTCGATTTTTTATATTTGTATGGGTTCTTTATTAATTTAAAGAGTAAATTAAACTTTTGTTTAATTAAAGATAGTAAAAAATTGTGATCTTTTCTATAGACTTATTTATTAAATTTATGGTCTTTCATGAAGCATCAAGAAGATGCAAAAGAAGTGAGTGGTGAAGAATTGTCAGAATACTTAGACAAAAGCGATGAAGCTGATTTAAAAGATTATTACTTTCATCAATTTTCTGATGTTGCATAGTGAATGATAGGGGACAAGGTAGTGGGACCTATTCGAATGTGTTAGAACATGTAGATTCACATATTGTTCCTTTCTCTAAGGGATTGGATGAGAGCATTAGTGATTTGTTATGAGAACTATAAGATGATGAATTATATGAAAATCATATAAATGACGAAGATCCAAACAATGTAATACCTAACTTAATAGACCTGGATGAGAGCAGATTTATTGGCAACGGTTCATTCTGTACGGTAAAAATGTGAAAATTTTAAAAACTTCTAATCAATTTTAATTCAAGGCGTACTTTGTATTCTGGAAGTTATATAAAATAAAACCCGAACTCGCTTCTAATCCACCTATTAGCAATATCTATCTAATTACAAACTTTATTATGTTTTTGTTCGAGCTCTAGTACTTTGCATAGAAAATAACCAATTCACTCGTATCACAAATATAATATGATTACACACACACACACACCACTATAGCCCGCATACAATCCTCCTTATGGGAGTACATACAAATATGATAGTAAAATTACATGCTTCACAACGGGGAAAGTATAAACACAAAAATGTCACAAAAGAGACTATAAACACAATATATTAATATTTTTATCGATTAACTAATTAACTAAATTCTTCTTCCACCTTAACTATGGCGCCTTAACTATGCTCCCACTGACATCTCTTTCCCTGTAGATGAATTAGGCCATATGGCTAAGTAGAAGAAAAAGGTGAGATTCAAAGAATCCCAATATCAGTAATAATATTTCATATATTATGTATGGTATAAAACCAAACACACAAGACAAGTCACGATGAACAACACCTTACAAAATAATTAAACTGAATTAAATAACTAACTGAGACATATTTACTAAATCTCATATAACTATTACACATAATTATGGCTCTGTTCATGTGAGCGTTTGAGCACTTATTAAGCACGTTTTGAAGCCGAAAGCACAATCGGCCTTTTAATGGATGTTTGGTTTAGATGTCAGCCACTTATGGCCCAAAGTAAAAATTTTTAAGCCCGATTGAAGAAGTAAGACCCTTCTATTTATAGCTTATGAAATCATGCTTTTAAGGCAACTTTGGAAAGCTGAACGAGAGGGGAGAACATCATGTAGCTAACCAAAGAAACTTGTCAGTGAACTTGTTATCATAGTACTATAATTTTTAATTTAAATATATTTTATTTATTAAATTTGAAGATAACTTCTTTCTATTAAAATAATTTAAAATTATTATATTATGTAAATTAAAATTATTTTTCTATTATTTAATAAAAGTCATACCTATTTTAGTAATTTTACAAACTAAACTTGTTTATTCATTCATAATTCAAACAATTTCTACTTTTATCCAATCTAATCTTTTCAAAAGCCAATCCAAATATAAATCTCATGACTCAATCTACCGTTTTTAAAAACTAATTGAAAATAAGCTACTTTTTTACCACTAATCTAGACGGGTACTATATAACTGAATAACTATGTGATTACTATCTGATTAACTGAATAACTGCGCAGTTGCTATCTAATTAATTGAATAATTGCATAGTTGCTATCTAATGAACTGCATAACTATGTAGCTACTATCTAATTAGTGCAACTGCTGTTTAATTAACTACATAACTGCTCATCTGCTATTTTGATTAACTGCATAACTGCTCATTTACTATCTGATTAATTGCATAACTGCGTAGCTGTTATATGATTAACTATTAAAATATTGGATAGTAAAAGGCATGCACATGGCCATGACAATAACTGGTAAGACAATTTATATGTTCTTATGCTTAACTATAGCATTATGGCAGCATTATGGCACAAATAGACATACAACCAGAACAAAACATACAAAATAATGATTAAAGCCACCTTTCCTCTTGCT